ATCTGTCTTCGTACGTGGATGCATAAAATTATGCCATTATCGACCTCGCAGGCGTTGAACGCATCGCGTCCTTGAACTCGGCAATGCTGCCACGCTTTGAAAGAGAATTACAGTGTATTTTGGATGTCAAAGCTTCCGAAATTACATCATTTTCGCATCACGTTCACTTGTGTATTTTTACTTCATTAGACACATGTTGACTGTCAAAATATCTTTGAACGAGAATTTACAAAACGATCTTTTTTTGCGGCATCGTATTACTTTGTTTTATAAAAGTCTGGTTTTGTTTAGATTATCTCATGTATTAACAAATTGCTGCCCAGTCTTTACCTAATCATCCTGCTGCAAATTTCGGCCTACACAGAAGCTTCAAATCACCATTAAGCACATTTTTATCGGCGTAAAAATTAGTCATTTGCCAGCGCGGTGATAATGAACCAGTCCACCGCATATCCCCGAACTCGTTAATATTGTTCTGGTTAAATTTGCTAATTGCTTTCGACAGGACGCAGCCCAAAGCGAACACGGGGAAATGCCTTCTCTTTCGACTGCAAATGCTCAAGGTTTTTCGCGGACACCAAGCCAAAATTCACTTCCCTACCCGCAAATTCTGAAGCAATGGCATGGTGAAGAGGGCTTGTTCAATTCGGCTATGAGAAATTCGACATTTAGGGTATCACTCTAAGAGTTCTCTGTCTGTTACTTGCCAGAGAGACGAAATTTGGCCGACCAACTGTCCATTAGCTAAACACCTGGTCCAGGTAGACGTGGCTTTCGAGGAGACACGGCGGTAGTTGAGTGACTCCGCTATCATATTTCGCGCACCTCACAACTGGTAGTGTCCGAATTTGATTGACTGATTGAAAACGTGCAAGGAGATTTCGAGGATGTTCCATTTGCACACAAAACCAAATACAATCTGCTGCATGGTTTTCAAATCCAGCTACCAATGAGGCCGTCTATGCGTGCGTAGTTTGTTTATTTCGATTCACTTATCGGTCATTTTGGAACCTAGTTGACCCAATCTCCAAATTCGTCCACCATTTTGACGAAGTGACCTCTAAGACTGGTTTGCGGTGGCCTCCATCGAAGGCATCTCCACCACCTAGTTGTTTGGTACAAACTCGTTTCTCCATTCCCCATCCACGTTGATAATGAGTCTGAAATTTCATCAACAACAACAACAACTAAAACAGCAGAATCAACAACGACGGCGCCACGCGTTAGTCGCAAGGATTTAAACCCACAGCTGTTGCCAGTTCCCCACCCCGGCAAATGGACGGACAAGAGTGGGGGTGGAGAGAACAGACTTCTGACACCCACTGCATACCCCCTTTCTGTGCCCAGTACACTTGCGGGTCGCTCTTTCACCCCCACTCACCCACGCCACCACCACCACCACCTCACAAACAACCACACATTCATTAGTATGTACCAACTGTCAGAAACTTGTACACGTACACACACACACGCACACACCGATGTTGGCATGAGTTGCTAATTGTGATGATTTCTTTCTCTACCCAAAAAAAACGTTTTGCCTTTTTTGTGGCCAAATTCAGCCTGTTTAGTTATTCCTAACAAGCCGGGAAGGCTCTTGGTCGTCTAGACTTACCTCATACTCCCCTAACATCTTCACTTCACAATCCAGTCAAATTCAGGGCGTCAGCAGCCAATGAATTCGCAGAAAATCAATTATAGTTGATACTAAGTACAATGCACTTTTAATCAACCAATCAACTTCGGAAACAACTTTTGTGAAGTCCCCTTATTAGCATTTGATTAAAGCCGCAAAATTTCAGCTGCATAACTTATCGTGCTCCAACAAAACATCCATTTTTGTCAAGTTGTACCTGTGGTCACGTGATGAAAACATTTGTTACGCTTAACCACTAGCTGATAGCTCGGCTACACTTATTGTGTGTGGTGTCGTGGTTATTTTGTTGTTTAGTTAGATGTTGACATGGGGAATAGGTGAGGTTAAGTGGGTGCTGGATGATTTATAAGTCGTAAAATTCGGTGACTCACACAAGATAAAATAGTGACAGTTAAACTTTACTAAATGGGATATTTGTATAAATGCACTGGGAAATTTTTTGGGAGGATTTTCAAAGCTCTATTTGTCTCAAATAAGTAAAGTGTTATTGGTAGTAATGGCCGCGCAAAAATTGACCCAAACCATACTTTTAGAAGTTAAACAAAAAGTGAAAAAAACGATTTTAATCGTGAATTTTACAACAGAAGAACATGACCAACAGTTGCCTCCATCGTTGGGTCGGACGTAGGTAGATTGAAATCTGGTGTTTCAGCGAAATCCGGCCAACGGAAGTGTGTGTTACTATGGACTATGTGCCGACTGCCGTGTCAGTAATGTGGAAAAAACAGTCGTGGATTATTTTCTATTTAAAATGATTTTTTCTGGGCTATGTGATCAAATGTACATGATAAAAAAATTTGTTTATAACATATTTAACATCCAGTAAAGAAGTGCCGTTCTCACAGAGATCGTGACCGTATTGTCGAGTTCAAGGACGCGATGCGTTCAACGCCTGCGAGGTCGATAATGGCATAATTTTATGCATCCACGTACGAAGACAGATCTTGGAGATATCAATGTACGTCGACGCCGACTTGGGCCACTCGCCACCACTTAAACCGACTCTGTCGCGTCGACATTCAGCGAAGTTTTGAGCGTGTCATCACTCGGCCCAGTGATCGATGGATCACTACACTTGACGACCGTCCAAACCACACCACACCCACTGTGCTCAACTGCACGAACGCCTTCGTTGGCATTGTGAGACGGTGGGAGCAGTTGCGACCAGAGATGACTCTTCTCAATTCCATCCATCCACCCATTAACCCACTTGGCGTACACTCTACGAACTTAATTTGGAATGGACAACCTGTCACCTGGACCCGATATGCACAGACAATGAAAAGTCTGCGGAGTGAGTGTGAGGTGCATTGCCAACCACCTCTTGGATCATCCTCGTGTCCTCTTCTGCTGTTTCGTTGCTTCTGTTGGTTTTCAAATTAACACGATGATCGGAGTGGTTTGTTTCGATGGGAGCAGAAAGCGAACAGCCAGTGTGATTGGTGTGTTGAATGATACGCCTTTTGGCTGTTGCACCGACGCCAATTTCAGCTGAGCGTTTGGCGATGTTGGAGAGGAACATGAGAAGCATTTATTGGCTGGAGTGGAAGGTCAGGTCGGTGTGTCGAAGGTGCCACAGTTCGACTTGCCAGTGGCGAGGCTGTCCACAAAGTAGCTATTAACTGGTGTGAGAAGGAGGACCTTTGGTTGTTAATAAGTCAAAACTATCAAGATTTAACGAAATGTCTAGTGAAGAGATTAGCTGGTGCCTGTCATGGAAACTGACGCATTCGAAAAATGTCTTGTTTAAGATTTGGCGGCCTCTGGGGGACGGACCAATCGGGTGTTGCGTTTTAAAATTTCACGTCAATCGGTGCATTGTGAGTGGGTGTGTGTGTGTGTGCGTGTGTGTGTGTGATCTGCACTGCACCGCATCATCTCGGTTGCCATATGCGCCAAGCACACGATTGGTTAATCAGTGACCTTGCTCTGCTCGGTGAGCAGCAGTTCGTGCATGTTGTCTTGTCGAATCTGCGGCATGGTGAGAACCCGATTCCCAACACGAGAAACTCAAACGCCCACCCAACTGGTTTCCCACACCCCACGACATTCAATGCCTAACAACGGATCCAGTGGGATCACAAGTGGTAGAAGTGGTCCGAGCACATTTGGATGCTGAAGGTAACAACGAAGTTGTGGAAGATCCCGATACCAGCGGGTTGTGGAAAGAAGGTTGGACTAAATGTCATTGGATGAATGCCAGGCGAAAAGCTATCACATGTGAAGTGAATTAAGTAAATGTACACGTCTACGCATCAGCCACGTTCTCATTGCTGTCCGCTCTGCCACAGGAGGTAGTCAGGTTGGAATGGGAAAGTCATTTGTCCTATTAGCGATGCAGTCACCAATGTTCGGCAAACTAACTCCAGTGTAGGACTGTACAGGCTTCACGTCGCATCGACCAGTTTGCCAGTGAACTGATTTCTGTGGGTATTATTCACACCAACTTGAGTTACGCAGGAAATCTGTGAGTAGATTGAATTGAGGGTGCTTACTTCAGTCGCGTGAATACTCATTCCGTCGCACTGATGCAGGTCGAATTCTTTTGTAAATCGACACGATTTGTGATGCTACGATGTGGTAGACTCGAATTTGGAATGCAGCCACTTCCAGACAAGGCGTCTGGCGTCGCAACGGAGCTGCACAATCACTCTGGTTGGGCATTCCATGACAGCACCGCCAGATGAGATGCTGCGCGTCTAAACAATCACTTTAAACAGATCGATTTTTTTTAAATATCCAGTTGCAGACCCAACTTGTGTTTGAATTGGGTGACCTTGAATAATCGATTGCCAATAGCGCGTTTGTAGCGCCAAAATGGAACTTTTAAATGGGGCTGTTCCTACAGATTGAAAGGTTTTTTTCCAAAATGAGGGAATGTTTGTTTACATCATGATATTTTAGCAATTTTAAATTAAATTTAAGCCGCCGGTTATTTCATCTCATCCCATATATTCCAAAGCATTTGGGTTGGTGAAATTTCAGCTGAGTACATAGTGAGTTAGAAAACGAGAGCATGTGATTTTTTTCGTTGACAGAAAAAATTCAGGAAGTTGAAAAAAAAACATTTCTGGGTATGTGAACACGCTCTCAGTGCCGTGAATTCGTTTAATCAACTCTACCCCGGGCAAATGCATTGTTGCTGTTATTTGACACGACCAAAAACCACAGTGCTTCATGATTCCATCTAATTATTTTGGCTGCAGAAATCTCTAGTGACGCGGTTAGAATGAACAGATTACATGTACACCGTTGACCTTGACGTGCCGCAGTAAAACAAATACGAGCTGTCGGTGTGAGGAACGGCAACCTAATTGAATTGTTCCCAATTACAGACTTCACTAAGGATTACTGATTTCCCCAACGAGAACTTTGCAGACACCGTAAAAATTAGTTTTCTGTGAAAATGCGGACTAAACTCAAGGTCACGCCTGAACGGCGAATTTAAACAAAAAGGCCAGACACTTTGCTGAAAGTCAGCTCTACAGAAGTGGTTCGAAGTTATTTTCCTGTGGAAATGAGGACTGCTGGTTTGGACTGGCATCAGCAGCACATATTTTGTGATCACTCATGCAAATGGTAACTGCGCATTTAATGGTAAAAGTGAAGGGGGCAACCGGGTTAATGTAAATTTGGAATTCGAATTCGCGGAACAAACATTACAGGTACACTTAAACAAAGCCTTCGCTTGACCTTTGAAGAAACTCCGACATTTCTGCTAAAATTTGCCTGTCTTAGTTCTGTTGTGTTACTCTCAGGCTCGTAGCAATGCAAATTTGGCCTGTAAGTATCAACAGACGTTCGACCATGCCATTTGATATTTCCTCCGATGCCAAAATGAAATCGCTCACGTAAATCTTTCCTCGTAATGACTTCAATTAAACTAACACATCACGCGTACTTATAACAATTCAGTAGCATGTGTCAAATTCGAAAAAGGCAGATGATCCGAAGGTACTGAATAACATGCGTGCAGCAAAGGACGCGGTACTGTCGCGACAACGACGCACGTTTTGACATGGTTGGGAACCTTCCACTGTTGAGAAACCCAACGTTTTGCGTGACATAGGAATACTCACAACTAAATTCCAACGCTAGGGTACAAAGTCACGCAAGTGTAGTAGTTTTAACAAGTAATGCACTCGACCCATTCCGGTAAAGCCGGCGATTCACACCGCAATCGATTCTTTTTAAATCTGCCACGCACACCATTTCATATCGACCGCGCACAATCTTGTTGGCTCGCCCAACTTGAACATGCTAGCGCGAAGGCCAAACAAGGCAAAACACGTACATCAAAACAAACATGGTTACTGTGATAAACAGACCATCTAGTTCACAACTTGTTACATTTTCAGCTAGTAAAGGAGGAAAATTCACAGAATAAGTTACTTTAACACAGTAAAAGCCACCGGCAACAAGTCAGTACGTGGAAAAACAATGTCCAACTAATTAAAAATTATAATTTGTTTAAATCAAGGGCCGAAACACTTTTCTGTGCCGCGGCGCACACACGCAAATTTGGCGCGACGAAGGAGCCCAATCAGGATGAAATGGACTCAAGTCTACTGATTTACGATTGGTTAACCAAGTTTTAAGGACCAAGGCGTTGAAATGTTTTGTAATTACTTTGGAGTGAGTCAAGTAAATATATTCCAGATAACTGGCGTTTTATCAGTTACGAAGGGCGATGCAAGTGATACTTAATGTGCTACAAACTGGGCGCTGAATAGGCTGCATTCTAATTCGCGGAGAACTGGCGGGCAATTAGGAAAATCCCGCCTTGTACTTTGTGAGAAGCAGTCCCTGGTAGATCTTGTAGTCCTCAGGTAGGAAGCAGCAAAAGATGACGCGCTCTATCTGCAAAAAAGAAGCATTTACAGTAGATACAGGTCGTAGTCAAATTCCAACTACCACAAAACTCGGTACCGCAAGGATGCACTGACACAGAGGAAGATTAAATACAAGAATAGAATAAATCCGTCATCCAGTCATGTCTAAGAGATGATTGGCTATGTGTGCCGTTTATTTAGCGTAAAAATGGCGGCTCCGATCAACTTACATCATTGTGTGTCTCAAGATAGTCCCATACCGTTGACAAAGCGATTTCTGCTGCAGGCTGATTAGGAAATCCTAAAGGAAGCGAAAACCGGGCCAATTAAAGTAGGGGAATCATTCCACGGACGACAAGTTGGCAAATTATATCGACCGGAACTAAGGGCAAATTCAAACTGCGCGCCTGTTCGCCAAGTTACTTGACTGGTTAACCTAATGAAACAATAGATGATCACTTCCCAGATGAATTCACCAGTAGCAAAAACATCACTTATACTTAGACGGTAGAGCCACCTTATTAAGTCTAGTAGATTAGAATTACCAGTTAGGGTTTTCGTTAGCAAAGCTTAAACAAAAAAAATTTCGTTTTGAACCAAACTTCAGCACCACTTTTAAGCGCCAGGAAATTAGAATTCATGAAAAAAAGTGATTTGAAAAACGAGTCAGAGCCGCTTGAAAATCGGCGCTTTTTGTAAAGAATCTTTTAGTAAAGTGCGTCAATTCAAGTCCATCATCTCAACCCCCCTAATTACCTCAAGCAAAACTTGCCTGTCGCGATTTCTTGGTAGACGTAAAAACACAACTACGAAAAACGACAACACTACAACTTTGTAATCTGTCCCAAGTCAAGTTTTTGACCCTCTAAAACACCATACCGGCCCGTGTGGAGACAAAAAAGGGTAGAATCGAGGCGTACCAAAGATGCCTGTTGAGATGCACGGAAATGCGACGCTTTTGATGCCATTTTCAGTGCACAGCTTCAACGCCGTGGCGTAGCACGAGCGCAACTTCTCGCCGTTTCCGTCCGACGGTCCAACACAGTGAATCACAACTTGACAAGGCAAAAAAATCAGATTTAAAGAGCAGAGTGGGCGTTTGAGTGAGCGAAAACCTCAAGTGTGGGCGTGCTACGTAACGACAAGTAGATAGTACACCTACATTTCGCGGGGAGATTGTATCCGCGGGTGATTTTGGCAGATCCGGTCTTGCACCCGCCGAGGGTGCGGCATTCCTCCAACAGACCAGGCCCGGCAGCTCGGTGTATGGCCCCGTCGACACCACCTCCGCCCAACAGCGAACTGTTCGCTGCGTTCACTATGGCATCGATGGCTAACTTGGTGATATCACCGGTGGTAAAGCTTATTCTCTGCAGCATTCGTCCTTCATAAACACCATCAGGTTTTTCTACAATCGCATAAGCACTATTAAGCAATTTCTAAGCGCCTTAATGGCGCACTACAAACTACTACAGAGCTAACAAAGGTCAAGTCCCAAACTGAAAAAGTTTTAAGGCCGAGGCAGCATGATGATCTCTACTGCAAGAGGGCGACACTGAAAAAAACGACTGCGATTACGACACTTTCGACGACGTGTCATTATACGACTCAGCATGACGAAAGCTGGTAAACATCGGACATTAAGAGTATGAGCTGAGAATAGTGGCACAAAAGATAATCCTTCACAATATGCAAAGCATCCGTCATCAACTTGAAATTCTTCAAAGACTCATCAATCGTTTTCCACATGAATTGCTTGGTCTATGGAATGACATCAAACCCTGGATTTAAAGGAGCTTGATTGGTACTTCGGTTTCTAAACCGACCACAATTATATTAAATGTAAGTTTGGAGTCTCTAAATGATAATCGAATTTCGATCATCAAAATTACATGAGGATGCAAATAAATTCTAAGCATTAAACAGGAAGATAATACTTGTATCTTAAGAAGCTAGACTTTGTCTATGTTCTAGTTAGAGAACAATCTCGAAAACAGTGACGTAACACGTCAAATCCACTCGCACTACTTCATCAAATTGATTAGAAAAAAAACTAAGACGGTTGTAGATCATCCGACCTAGGCCTTTGAGAACCCAAAAAAGTGGTAATAGACGTACTTGTGAACAAGCTTTCACATGATGGAATGTCTGTCAAAGTTGTCATTCTCCTAACGCCAACTTCTACCAAATGTCGCGAAAAATAAACTCGCGGTGAAAATAGACACACCAATCGTCGAAGCATGAAAGGCCAATCACCAATTAGTTTATTCCCAAACAGCCAATAAATAGCGTTGTCGGAAAATGAACTTTTCAAGGTGCACAAAGCCTCTAGGAAGGAAAAATCCGTAACAAGAAATAAAGGAGGAAGTTGTAAAAATCAAGTGAACCTTAAAAAATTTAAGTTATTATGATCCAATTAATTGTATTGTTGATAGGTGACATTAAAGATGATTAGTTGCGGAAACAATTTAATAGAGGCAAAATTAACCCAAAAATATTAGAACTTTTTTGCCAGGAACTAAATTAAGAGAGAATTTAAGTTTGCAGATTTCGACAAATGGTTATTATAGGCGTGAAGCCATGCCGTAGAGAGAATGTGGCCAGACTACAACGGGTTTTTATTTGGGGGCAAATTGGAATGTCGGAAAGGTGCTGATGAACATATCAGATTCCATATTTCACTTTCCAAAACTTTACGTGCTGTTCTTCAGAATGACCCTCATATAAAAATTCATAGTTTAATGTACGAAGAAATGACCACTTCTTCAGAATTAATGTGACGTCAAATAACAAAAATCAAAATAGTTCATTAATAAACTTTGATTTAGAATGGTGGCTACCTCGCTTTCTAATGAACGCATAAACCCAACAAGACCTCAATCGATAAGAATTTTAAAAATAAATCAATAAGTAATCAATTTAGGATAAAAAATTAGTTAAGAAGTTCGGAACTGAAATTCCAAACGAACAAAACAAAGGTATATTTTGGTAAATAATTCGCTTTTCACCTTGTACAAATCAATCACATGACTATACTTACAAATCAAGTTTCCATTTAGGTAAACGTAACGCCTATTTTGGGTGCATATCGAATTCTTGGTTTAAACGAAATCGCCTTATTGTCGGTAGTCGATAAATATATGACACACTTTTTCGAGTGATTTCTATTCTACATATGACTTGCAGTCTGCAATATATTGTTTAGCACCAAAATAGCCTTGACTTACCTCTATTTCAGGAAAATTAAACTTAATTTTTACTCAGCTTATGTAAAACCTCAAGTTGCGTAGTAAGGCAGACGCACTGAGATCAGTCAGTTGTAATTAAAAATCAAAATGCGACTTTAGAAAAGGTGGATTTTTGTCTTGGTTTTAACCATGTATGAAGTTAAATGATGGCTAGGAAATAGCTTTTTGAAGGTTGACACGAATAGCAAAACAACTGAATAACCTTTGCCTTTGAAATGAGGTTAAACTCACAACAAGTGTCGAAAACCACTCTTTGATGAGTTATAAAACACAAACACATTCGAACCTATGATTACTTAAGTAGCTCACAAAATTTTATTCCCTAACTGCGCATAGATGCGTTAAAATCCAGGGAATAAGATGGAATTCATACACGTCCTATTGCCAGGCAATGCTCGGTGTACTGACTTACTTTAGAAGTGCATTAGACTTCGACATATTTTGAAACTACATATGAAATTGTATTGTTCGTCTTTGGCTTCCCTATTTCGTAACTGGAAGCAAACCAGCTGACAGTGCCTGCCTGGATTCATTTTTACGCAATTAGGAACAAAATGTCACTTGATTGTTAAATAGCCCACAGCAGTCTGTAGCTGACAAGACTTCTTGACTGACGATTCAATACCGAATAAACCAACCAGAATTGAACACGTGACCACTGGACCTACACTTTCACCCTGTTGACGAAATTGCTTATGTGGCGACGTCTGAGGGCGCAGACAAATTGGACAACGCTGGCATCAGCCAATCCTGTGTCCCTCTGCGTTCCAATGTCATGCGAGAAAGATAAGCAGCCAACCAGAGAAGGACACGAATCAGAAGCAGTATATATTGAGCGGCGCAGCCAGAGTGGTGGGCTCGGACGGAAAGAGCCTAACATATGGTTCTGGCTCGTGATTGGTCAATAAAGCCTGTTCGGTTGTATCATTATTTTTCCTAATCGAGTTCGGGTATTCTACACTTACTTGGTATATTGGTGAGGCTTCCTCAAGATTAACCAATTGTCCCCCAATCAACCAAGCCATTATCGTGGCGAATCCAGGAACGCAACCTCGCAGTAGCGATCGAAACACTCATAATGTGAGCACATATGACTACCGAACGTCAATAATCGATTCCGCACAAATTATTGGTCGAAGTATTGGTATTGTGCACTGACCTTGACTTTCTTTACCCCCAAGACATGCATCAAGTCAGGTGGTTGGCCACTAGATTGCTGTGTTTTCAATAAATTTTTGCACTAACGAGCTACCGGAGTGTTAGTGAGCTGCACAACACCTACACCATACCTAAATAACCATTTTATCACTAATTATTGTTATGAAATCAATAACGCAAGCTCTCAGTAGCGATCGGCACACCGCACGAAATGCGCCCATTTGGCCAGCGAACGTCAATCATTAGTCGCACGCGACTTTCATATGCTGACCTTAGCTCGTTCCTAGCCTTATGATAGAAATCACGTCCAGAATTTAAATAAACGGCTGTCAAACATGTTGTCACGTATTCGCAATCTAGGTTTAAACTAAGGGCTGCTCAGCACCTTCAACATATCTGTAAAACCACTCAACCAGGCGGTATAAAACGTATTTCCCAACAACTTCAATCATTTCATATAAGTGCTTTCAACTCATTCACAGTATACCAAATTGCAAAGTGAAGCAAATATCGAGTTAGCGCATTAAGAGGCAATCGCCTGCCGAAGATTTATTGAATTTCAAACAAATCAGCTGAACCTTGGTGTTGTAACTTCTAAGTCCATTACCGCACAAGCAACGGTTTTACAACGATCTCAAAACTTCTTATTCAGAGTTTAAGAAATCGATTTCCCGGTGTATTCAGTTATGCGCTGATAATACCCCTAGCAAATGACCAGCTCGATTTTACAGAAATGAATATCAAAATGTAGATTTAGGAAGCTACTTAAATCCGCGGTAAATAAGGCAACCAAAGTAGCAAGATTGAAAATCTGAACAAAATTTCACGTCAGTTACATCCAAATTTCCAAAAATTGAAAGAAGTCCTGTTTTTCCCAATGCATCGAATAGCCCTCAGTTTGTATGCTAGTTTGACTCGAGTTGGAGGCATTTTTAAACTGTAAAGTGCAACGCATCACAGAAGACATCTACAGGTTATTGAAACATTGCCCAAAATTTCAACAGTGAAGACAACCGAATAGAGTGGAAAGGGATCACATTTTTCCCAGAGCCCAGAGTAAAAAGTAGGAACTTGCTTTTGAGATCAACTGAATCTGAGATCACAATCAAGAAAATTATCAAATCCAGAGCTTAAAAACAAAACTCGTGTAAAAAAGCGACATAAACTCGCATTAAAAGCTGCTCCCTCAAAATGACTACAACATAAAAACGCCTTAATAATACGCAGCGACGAGTAAAGAAAGTAGGTGACATTAGTCAACAGAAACAACTGCAAAAAAGTTTATCTTCTTCCGTAAGTTAGACAAGCCCACCCTTCTAAACACATCCGGGTGAAAGTGCGAAAAAACTAATAACAGACCAAGCTGTATAGGATCGCGAACGTAAGCTGCAACCAAAAATTCAATACAATTGACGAGACCAAGAGTCTCCCAGAGATTTACTAGACGTAAGTGCTAGAGACAACAGTTTAATTATACAAGATGTACACAAACTAGTTTTCGGTCCATACAAACTCACACTTCATGCATGAATACTTTGTAGTGCTGGGTTCATCGGCTGACCGTGTCTGCATCTGGATGAAATAGGCTCGGTTATGACCACATTTCGGGCACTTCTCCTCTATTTGGGCAGAAGAACTGTAGGCGTCGGCTGCTGAAAATACGGTGTCTTCTTCTAAACGCAACCGTACATCCGCATGTGGAATGTGGTCCTGCACAATAAGTGAGGTCACGAACCATTGGTACGCACAACTAGGATCGGTACAATTTAAAGCATAACAATGAGAAGATTCTTCGATTGACAATAGAGAATCACATACGGGACAAAACAAAACAGGCATTGCAATTACGACATCTCACGTTGGAAAGCACAATAAAATAATAGCACCATCCTTGACCTTGAGATAGAATGCGACAAAAGGATTAATCGTGTTGATCAGTCAGTGCATTAGTTGAAATGGTAACTACTAAACAACCATGATTTGAGGGCTACAATTTTTTTAATATTAGGTTTTATTATATAAAGCATGGACTGTAAAATAAACTAAGTCTATACTAATGCATTTTTTATGTATTTAATCCAGAACTGCCTAAATCAAAATAACTTGAGTTGAAATACTATTGTACTACTTGCATAGTAAAAGAAGGACAAAATGACTTTCATTTAATAAACTTTAATTGCATTTTCGATCTCAAATCGAAACAAATTACAAGTCAAGAACCAGAATAAAAGAATTTACATAAAAATAATGAAACTAAACGTTATTTATTCCATGCGACATTTTTTGACGTAATCATTAGTCCAAAATTAAGGAAATCAGCCTGATTGAAACCGTAATTATTCGTTTGATATATTTTTTCTGATTTTGATCTATGGGATCTTCAGTGTAAGACATAATGATTTTGTTTAGGAAATTGGAAAAAAAGAGGTGATTCATGTAGTGTCTTCTTATTTACCCATACTGAGCCTTATTCACTTCTGATTTTGATAGCTGCATTTTATTGTATTTGAACGTGTCGTAGTGAAAAGTCATTTTTGTCGAAAATTTCGAATATGTTAAGGCTATTAATAGAATACAAAACCTAGCGATTCGTGCAGGCTCAAAATGCAAAGACAGCAGTGAATGTTGGACGGATCAATTGTGTGCAGATGCGTCCATTTCAAAGAACAGGACAAAAAAATCGCATAAATAAGAATGATAATTGACTTTAATATCAGTCTCTTACAGACAAGCATGTGATTAATTTTTGTACGTTCATGGACAAAGGGATGGGCAGTCAAACGCAATATAAAACACAAGAATATTTGTTCATCACAATAACGCTTATAGCGTCGTGGTTGCAAAGAGGATTGCTTTTCTCTGAATTGGTTCCTCAGACGTGGTTTCTAACCTCATCGACTGCATTTCGGTCTATAAATCAAAATAGGCAATACGGAGTATGGGGATGATTAGAGTAGGGTTATGCATCATAGATCCTATACGTTTGCAGATTAAAAGCTAAACTTCTGCTGAAGGTTGACAGGTGGATTTCACGGATTAAATGAAAGTTTTAAGACGGTTTGCAGGTGTAAATCATTGACAAAGTTTCAGGTAAATCAAATAATCTAATTTTTGAATTAGATGGAATAAGGGGTCTTCGCCTAGTTGATTTCCACGCACAATTACCTTCTGCCTCGAGGGTCAACCCGACAATTGAATCTACAACAGAACCCATTACACAATAACTCGGTGGGGATCATTTCAAATTATATTTGTAACAACCAGGAATCATCCGAATCCCTACTAATCCTCATCATCCTCTTCATCTGCTTCATCAAGCCACTTTAAGAATGGTGCCAGGTTCTCCCGGAGTTGTGAGCATCCAGCAGAGAGGTCCTCGTCAAGAAGGAGAGGAGACGCCTTCACCCACTCCCTTATAGCCTCCTCTGAGACTAAATCGGCGTCATAGAGTCCATGAACCAACCACTGTCCAGCGCTCATCACTACAGGATGGTAACAAGCCTGATCCTCAACTGCCTGCAGACAATACGACGCGCAGGTCTCTGAACTAGCCAAGTACTTCTCAAGGACTGGAGCGAATCGCGAAAGCTGGATTTTGAAGCAGACCGCAAAAGCTCTAGCATCTTCGCGTTTCTCCGCATCAACTTCCTTCTCAGCAATATCAAGAAGGGCTTTGATGAGGAAAAAGGCGAGATCCTCCAGGGAGATGTTGTAGGCATGCTTGAGGGAATTGACTTCAAGGAGAACGACGTCGGTCGGCTGCTTGAGTTGGACACTGCGAATAAGGGTGTTTTTCAACTCCTGGATGAGGAATTCGTCGGAGACGTCACCGTCTTCACCGCGATCGCTTTCGGCACCAGCACCGGCACCACCGCCATCGCCATCGAAGTCCCCACCACTACTACGCATCCGGAGACGACTTGTCTCGCTGTCGTCGACGCCACTATACAGACGACTAGCGGTACAACTGCGGGTTGAGTGTCTGGGAGCCCAACCTGTTCGCCAAAGCAAGATCTGCTGGTCGTCAGAACTCTCCAAATCTGAACCGCTAACTGATGCATTTTCATCGTCCGCCAGTAGGGACACCTAGTTGAGTTGTGGCAAAAGTAAGTACACAGGAATTATGCTACAACTTCCAGTTAGACAAATCAGATTAGGCTTACGTCGTTACGTGAAGAACTTGGCTGGTAAACTGCTGCCCATCCACGCGAACCGCATTCTTCCACGCTCATGACGACATCGTTCGGACCGGGTGCCACGAGAATGCTCTCTGGTGGGATTTGGACGTTGGGACCGAGAGTGACACCGACACCAGCACCCTTATTGATCGCCGAGTCCGCTTGAGGCTCCTTCATTTTGAGCGGAGCGCCAATGAAGCATCGCGGACCCAGACGTACGCTATCGTGTATCCAAGCGCCGGAACAGATCCACGTCTTGTCGGCAACCACGCCATGACTTATGTAGACGTCGGAAAGCGCGACAACACCGCGAAGACGCGCCCCAGACAGAACCGTACAGTTGTCGCCAAGGACGGTGTCGATCAATACGGCGTCGGAGTCGACGTGACAGTTTTCGCCGATAAGGCAGGCACCAATGAGACGAGCGGAGGGATGCATGTGGGCAGTTCGGGCAATGTAACAGGAGAGGGAGACGGCCACGGGTGGAGCGCGGGACGAAGAATGGCGGATTCCCTCGGTGAGACGAGAGAAGGGGTCGGTGGAGAGGTAGTTGGGCGGACGAACAAGAGTGCCACCCAAGCGCGTCAGAAGTCGTGGGGTGATGTCGAGTAGATGGCTCAGTGTGGGAGCAGCGGGCAGCACAAGTCGAGAGGGTGGGGTGAATTGCAGGTGGATGCTGTAGCCCATGATTTCCTCGTTGGTCAAAATGCCGTGAACTAGGTCATCGATGGAGTCGTAGTCGAAATTGTCCTAAGAACAACAAAAGGAAACCTCCTACCTAACCAGGGTCATTAAAACAAGTTTGATTTGGTTTAACGGGACTAACTTGAAACAAGGGCGGAATGTGTGAGCTGCACAAGAGGATCCGAGGATCTAGGAGTCGAGAACGAACTTCAACGAGTTTCTTTAGTTTGGTAGCAGCTTCGAGGACTTCCGATGAATAGATAACGGGCATATCACGTTCATACCGTTGGGACTGTATTAGTTTCATGTCCGGTGTGGTGAATACAACAGAGAGACGCTCAGCATCAGGAAAGGCAAAGTATGGAAGGTCGGCGTACACGAGGTCGAGTGCGGCAGAGGGAATCTCCGATCGACGTTCTCTGAATCGGGACAAGAGAACACTCAAATCGACATCACAAACGAGGTCAGCTGGTAGACAGATGAACTCCTCAACTCCTCGCAATAACTGATGACCTTCTAGATCTCGCATTACATCTCCCAAGCACCGGCTACCGTGTCCATTGACAACCTTGATTGTCACTTGAGGCATGCGCTTTGTGTAGGCATTGGATTCGACGAAGGCCCGAATTTTGTTCGCATCACGACAGGCGTAGATTATTATGTTTTGGAAGCCATCACACACAAGGCGCGAGAGTGAAAAATGAAGAAGTGGGACGTTTGCAAGTGGGAGAAGTGAATGAGGAATGGACGAGGAAAGGGGTTCAAATCTATTGGCCACATCTTCGGCCACAATTACTGCAGTTGGAGGAACTTTGCCTTCCTGAAACTCCGAGAGATCAACTTTTGGTGGACCCTTCTTTCCTTTTGGCGGCATTATGACACTAAAGTACCGAAAAGAATATCAGGATCCAAAAAAATGCAATTTTGCCTTCTCTTAAAAGGCGCTTAGAAGCTATAACCAGACTAGTAATCACTAATACTCCGTGAGTAACGCGCGAAAAACTTAATGCAAAATCATTAGGGGAACTCAGGGTCGAGCACAAACATTACGAAAAAATCTAGTAGTTCGAGGCCCAATTAAAACTCCATCATGCGGATTTGGACAAATCAAATAGGAAACCAACTATGGAAGGTACATTATGTTATCAATTTGGTTGTTTAAAAGTCCCGACAAATCATCAATCGCCCATCTAAAAGGTGAGAGAGACTTAAAGTTTAAATGAATAAAAATGTTAACCAATGTAAGAATTCATTTTTGTAGAAATCTGTGCGAGTTTCGTACAATAATAAAAAGCCACCCAATTCATACCCGACTAAATAAAAAAATTTTCTTTCAAACAAAACACTATGAGAGTGGTAGTGGCTTCTAAATGAATGCAAAATATAAAAAAGGCTTGGAATCACTTTCGTAAAATACTGCAGTAGTTTCGGTTGATATGAAGAGAGTCATCAAAACTACATACATATATTTGCAAACGGAAATAACAAAAAAAATAAATAAAATATTTGGTGTTGAAGAGAGAGACACTTCGCTCATAAATCCGTAATTACCAAATATTCTGTGACTGATTCCGACTGTGACGGCGAATAGAAGCGCAGACATATTGGACCACGCTGGCTTCAGCCAATCCTCTGTCTCTATGCGTTCCAACGCAATGCGAGAAAGGTAGGCAGCCAACCAGAGACAGATTTGTTTGAGAATTTGTAGCCAGCGTGATGAACTCCGATAGACGGCGCCTGGTGAGTGGTTTTGGCTTGTGATTGGTCAATAACGCCCGTTCTATTGTACCTATCTCCCTCATTCTGGGGCTCGGGTATTCTACATTGGTAGCAGCGGATGCGCTTGAATGACCCGAATCAAATTCCAGAACTTTACCTACTATACACAACAAAGGTAAAGAATCCTAAATACCACCTCCTGTTGTCATGGCGATTCATCCGATGTCCCATAAACTGGATTCAAAGACATTGCATGGGATTAGGAATACTGCATCTGAAAAGGCATTGGCAACTCTGTGAGGACGACGATGAGATAAGACGCTAGTTGGACTGCTAGTGGAGAAGGAACCTGCGATGGATGAAGCGGCCTTCCTGTAAGTCAACAAAAGCAAAGTCATTCGTCTACTATTCGCTTTGGCCACTGTCCTGCCAGATATGGGGTATCGGGGACTCGAAATAGGTATTTTATCTACCACCAACAGCGTATGGAACCAAGCCAGAAGCTGTGGACAGCATCATTCTGGGGGGGGGCATTGTAGCTACATATAATGGCGCAGACATTTTGGACCACGCTGACCTCAGCCAATCATTTGTCTCTGCATTCCATAGGCATACGAGAAAGATAGGCTGCCAACACTAAACAGACACGAATGAGGGGCAGTAATAAATGTGTGGCGTAGCCAGCGTGGTGGACTCGGATGGAAGGAGCCTGATGTGTGGTTCTGGCTTGTGATTAGTCAATAAAGCCTGTTCTGTTGTACCAGTCTTCTTCGCACTCGGTCTCGGGTATTCTACACTCAAGTACGTCTGCAAACGCCACCACAATTTTATATTGTGCGTCATTCGAAAAGTGCTCCTTTATTGTCCCATGTCTAATAAAAAAGTGCGAACACGTCTTAATGACCTTTTGCATTCTGAAGGTCCGTGTTAGTTTGCAAAAGGCCCGTGCCACATTTTAACTTTTGTTTCAGTCTCTGGATCATTAGGTTGATATGACGGTAAAAAATTGGGATCTAAAGCAAAGTATGAATCTGGGTGTGTATGTTGATCATATGAAGCAGTCAGCGCCAAATTAGCCACAGGAAAAGTAAAGTCGCTAATCATAATAACCAAATCGAATGCAGAGGCTTTTGCAAATTTACTGTTATATTCTCTTTTACCAAGAACGGCACAGCCTATGGCGTTAATACCCAATTTAAGCGGTAAACCCCAAAAATTATAGAAATAAACGTCCTATCATGAGCCCATTCCTTCATATCGTCAATCTTTAGTAGCCTCACAGACTACACCAACGTTTAATACTCTGCCTGTCCTATATGCCAACTGCCGTCATCAGTCATGTTCCTTGAATTTACGTTTGTGGTTAATATGTACCGACGAATGTACATGCACTTAGGCTCCGAAAATGACAAATTCTTGTTCATTTTAAGTAAAGTCTTGTCACATCATACAATCTGGTCTGCGGCAAAGATCTGCAGCCAACTAGAGACAAGGAAAAGTCCGCGGTGGTATATAACAAGCGGGGCAGACATCGTGATGGACTCGTATAAACACCCCCGAGATATAGTTTTATCCTTTGATTGGTCAATAACACCTGCTTTGTTGCGAAGGTCTTCTTCCAAATGCGGCTTAGGTATTCCACAAAATAAAAATGAACTGTTTATGAATATCATGGGTGGGCTTGATTTGATAGCTTAGTATCACTATAAGCCTAGTTCAGTCAATGTACTAATTAAAGTAGTGACAAATGTTGGCGAAAGTGGAAATTTGGTACTCAAATCAGCTTATCTGTCGTTGGTGGAATTTCATATCATGTGTCTTTATTATCTTAACATTTATTAAAGTAAAGGAACTGATTTTGATTTTGTCCAACTCAAAAATTCAATTAATAAGTCATTCCAAATTTTGTTGCATAGGATTTGTTCCACTATTTAGATTTTAGAAATATTCGAATCGTTTGTTAAAATCTAAAAACTAGGAAAGGAATTTAATTTGTCGTTTTTCGATAGCCTGAGCACTGGATGAAAATTTTCAAGTTTTGTGCTACAGAAGCGTGAAAGTATAAACGCACAAATAAACCGCTCCTGGTAGATTTTCCATTACCCTTTAAGACCCTTCGCTTTTCCCGAAATCGACCTGACCAATAACATAGAATTTTCTATGCAAAGTGAAAGAAGTCATTGCAGGATTATGTCGGTTTTTTAATTAATAGCTAACGCAGATAAATATGTGTGACTCGTATTTGGAATACGGATTTAACATGATATGTGTAAAAAATGCGAGTGCTACCACATTAATAACTAATGCTGTTTCGCAGATCTGAGCTATTCATACACACGCGCAAACTCCGTGCAGGGCGACGACGGCGCCAACTTAACTGAGTTCTGAAGTTAACGGTTTTTTTCCGCCTTCTCCTGTTCTTTAACCCAGAGAGTAGCTGGGGTCGTAATCAGGTCAATGCTGCTTGCATGCGCAGGACTTGATACAGTTCCAGGCGCCACAGTGCCAATATGCGAAAAGGTTTTTGTCCTTTGCGCTTTTTCTATTTGTGCTAAATGAGCTGAAATCCCTCGCTGTCTGTCAGGGGTTCAATGGCCAGAAGTGGGAGGTGTTTCGGTAATACACTGGCCAGCATTGATCTTTGGACCACAGCGGCCTCCTATTTTCCAATGTTACAGGGAAATTTTGTTTGAGCAGATGCAGTAGCCGCATTCGACTATGGAGGCTGCTTCTGTCATTGATTTAAAATGACTTCTTTCTCACTCTTGATTGGCCACTGCTAAGAGGTCTAAGACGTCCTCAAACTCCTCTATTGAGAGCTTGATACACATATGCCAGGTACAAAACATGTTGAAGCGTTCACCAAACATCCACTGGAGATTTTAAATGGTTTCGCCGAGCGTGTAGTCGAGCGAGAGTTTAGGAAGAATCCTGTCACAGTTTGGAGGGAAGGAGTTTGACCTTTCACGCGTCGTCTTGTATGCGAGGTCAACCCAAAAGAGGTTTTTATAACGCCTTATTAGAAATCGGATCATTGGTGATCTCTGAGGCTGTTAATCGACGGTAAACTGGCCTGAACGGTCAGCGACCCCCCTTCGATCTGCCAAAATGAACACCAGCCGCCAAAGTGATTGTACCACCTCTTTATTATCCATCTCGTCTGCATCACCAATGTGTTTTGGTTTCCATCACACAGATGTGTAACCTTGAGTGCATAAAATGAGTACTTAAAAAGGGTAAATGACCCCAAAAAATTCGACACAAATGTCGACAGCTTGCCTAAGTCAAGGGTTTAAATGCGACGTTCAGATGCTTAATTATGTACAAGTTTTCAAAAAATATTAGATTTCTTAAATAAAATTGATTAAAATGAGATCAGAATTAATTGATGAAATTTTCATTATCAAAATTTTCATTACCTAAAATTTAGCAACTGTTCTGCTACATTATCGTTCATTATTATGTACCAATATGAATGTCAAAAGTGATTAATTAAATTTTCTACCAAAAATTTATCAAAAGTACTAAACTCTGTGTACACAGATACAATAAACGTTGAAATATTAAAATAATAATGAAAATATGCACAATTTATACATGACAGACAAACGATACCTCTCTAAATCATATCCCATATTTACTTGTCTGAAGAAAAAAATAGCGAATAGTGTTTGAAGAGAATAAGACTCGAAACAATAGAAATGGCAAACTAGGGGTTGCTCTACACAGATTCCTTCAGATACCCTCAGTGAGTAGGCGGAGAAGAATCACCCATTTATAAAAAAAATGCACACAATGACTAATACCACCTTTGTAAACTCCAAAATTAGAAAAGTACTATTAATGTAATTATACATGAGGGCTTTAAATCTCTTCGGCTTCCAAAACTCTCGTTAAATTTATAAATTATTTGATGATTCATGATCACAAGACATTTTAGCAGCTGGAATTTATCGACTTATTGCAACGCTGTCCTTCCTATGGCAAAAGTAGTCGAAGGAAGGCCACTGACTAATTTAACGATATGTCATTACATACACGCAAAGCCCTGAGTAAAAAGAGTTCATTTTCTTAGTCTAGCGCGCAAAAAAATGCCCCGAAACTGCACCATAGACAAAACATGTTTGAGTCAACGTCTGTCTAACTAGAACAAGAAAAAACCCTGTGGAGGAGGATTTACTGTCGCAGACAAAGTCAGAGTGCACGTTCGAACCCACACACTTATTCGTGGTGTGGGCGTTCTTGCGTGTAAGTTAATTAGTACACTCAACGATGTTTACACCAATAGGGAGGGGGCGGTCGATTCAAAAACAAAATTTCGTGTGCACCAAAATGAATTATAAGAGAGCATTTGAAATTTCGGGAGTTTTATAAGATATAACTTTGGAGATGCTGAAGAATTACCATCGTTTAAAGAAATTTCGACCCATTTTAACTCATTGTGGTTCAGAAAAACCGCAATAATTTGGAGTTTACTATTCTGCAATCAGTCACTGAATTCCGGAGATAGAGATAAATTTACCTATTTCTCAAAGTTTGCTTGCAAAGTTGGGTTGAGACAAGAATAACTGTAAACTTTGCATTTTATAGGAAGGAGAGTGCCTAAAACGTCCTCTGTTTCCATACGTTCAACTTTTACAAGGAGTGCTTCAAGTCAGCCAAGTCATGTCAATTCCCACAATGAAGTTAATGCCTGATTTTTACAGTCAAGCGACGTACTTTGGTAATTACGCCATCAAGCTGTAATGACTTACTAACATATAAAGCTTTAGTCCAAAAGCTCTGTCTTTGCATGAAAATTGTCGAAAGTAATAAACCCTGTACTCTAAACCGCAAAAAGACGACTTTTATTCAAAAACACAATGACCTGAATTTAAAAGCACAGAACGAAGTATTTCTGATGATCCAATTTGGTGGAAAATAATCAGCTCTTTCAATTCTATGAACACAATTAGATGGGTTTTTAAACAACGTAAAAGGCCGCAGGGAAAGCTTTACTTTTTTTTACTTTTTTATATTTGAAGACTTAAGGCAGCGCAACCGCACGTTATTTTGCAACATATTCAACTTATGTAAACGTAAGACTTGTGCATAAGTTTTATTTATAGTTAAAAACAAAGTACGTTCTAAGTTTGCAATCGTCTAGAAAGCGACTTCCCACAAAAGGATTTTCGTAAAATCTTGTATACTTTTAAGTTTTAAAGTTCAGCATGCACGGCAATCTCAAACAGGTAGGCATGGTCTGATTCATGACCTTAATGAATAATTTTATGGCAAATCAACAGAAAAATAGGGTTAAACCTATGTTTATTCACACTTACCAGTAGATATTTACGAAAATTCACTTTCCACTTTTTTCACAGACCACAATGAAGCATTCCTTTGCAATTTATTAACTAACACAAGCTAGAAATGTGATATTCTTGATTTCTTTTATTTTTACGGGAATACCTTTCTCTAAAATGCAGAATTTTACATTAATGAGTCCATTTTGGACATCTATACCTATTTCGCCACAACCAGGAACGAAGAAAAAAATTTGCACTTTAAGTAATTATTATACCTTTGTCGACTCAATGTATACCCTTTAATTGTAACATACTGCTTCATCAACTTTGCTCTAAGTTGAGAATAACCTGTGGTTCAATTTAGTCAGCCTGAACATCAGCGCAAACATTAAGGAGGCTTTAATATGCGAAAATTCAAGTTTCTGAAAACGAAACAGTTAGTAATTAAAACATTAGGGAATTTAATGTCAGAATTCTTATGGTTGGTGAGTAAGCATTAACGTTTTTAAAGAATATATTGACGTTTCGTCGTTCCACTGAGATATGTTTTTGCTTGCAAAGTTGTGTGAACATGAAACCTGCAGGAATTTTTTAAAAAGCGGCGAAACACGTGCATGTAATTAACTTATAATGAAATGAACATATAAAAAAAACACATTTAAGCTGTAATTTGTTCCGATTTGAATACAAATGATTCGAAATTTCGCATTTAATGTTTTACGGTCAAGTACGAATTAAAAAGTAGTTGTTGATTTAAGAACTATTGAATTATTTGCATGTAATTTAAGAAACAGTTTTAGTTAGAAACAAATTAGACATAAGTGGAATCTGGGCCATTAAAGTAAAGAAGTACGTGATTTAACATCCTCAAGTTACTCCGAATGTGCAAAATGCATTTTATCCATTGTTAACACTTTGATTCCACTGGACTTGTTTACAACTTAATGTATCACCGAATTACCTACGTTATTTCGAATTTTTTTGATTAGGTCAACAACAGGCTCATATAGGCAAGCGAGCAGATCTGGAGACAAAGATTCGACACTTTCAGTAAATAAAAAGTTGTTTACAACAATTTTAAAATCCGCTTGTAGAAACATAGACAAGCCGATAATAATGCAAAATTATTAACTAAATAATTAAAATTAAATAACCATTTAATGATTAGTAATCGTAAAAATGAAAAAAACCACTTCTGCAACTAGTAGTTAAACAATAGGATTTTTAAAAACAGCAGGACAAATTGATTATAGTTATTTTAAAAATATATACAATTGGAGCAATGTTAAGGCAATAATAATAGTTTTATTATAGTTTTGTTTTTTCTATCCAAGAAAACCTGGGATGACTTCTCCAAAAAGCGCCTGATTTGTCAGCTGGGCACTTCTTTTGTGTCTTGGTTCCTGCCTGTTCTTCATTCTTGTGCCTATATAAGCCCCTGTTTGGTAAAATTAAGTATATTGAATCAGTCTGTTGGCAAAATGCCAAAGATCACCGGAGCTAATGCCTTTATCGAGCTCCAGAACAATGGAGTCATAAGTAAAGAGGACCCTTCCCAGCTATTCACGGATTTGTCACAAATTGGGGCTGGGAACTTTGGCATAGTTTACCGGGTATGTTGGAAACTTTTCGGAATATTTCTAGGCGACCTCGGTTGGATCTGGTGAAGTAGTTGCTATCAAAAAGCTTAAATTTGATTCTAAACGGAAAGTTTCTATTGAAGACTTGAAGGATATGCGGAGAGAAATAAAGTTTATTTCGCTTATGAAGCATAAAAATTGTGTCCAATGTAAAGGCTGTTTCCTGGATCAGCAGGTCCCATGGGTATGCTGCCGCTGTGTTAATAATCTTCTCATAGATTGTAATGGAATATTGTCTCGGTTCTGTCGCTGATATCCTCAAAGGTTTGTCTTCCATGTTATCATATTTTTTTTATCAGTGCAACGACATCCGCTCAAGGAATGCGAGATTTCGTGCATTGTCAGCGAAGTTCTCTCCGGTCTTGTATATATACACTCGCAAAAGTTTATTCATCGGGACATCAAGGCTGCGAATATCCTGTTTACTGAAACTGGAGGTGTTAAGGTTGGAGATTTCGGTTCTGTGAGCTTTAAAAGCCCAGCCAACAGTTTTGTTGGAACGCCTTATTGGATTGCTCCCGAGGTAATTTTAGCAATGGAGAGTGGCCTCTATGATTGCCGTGTCGATGTTTGGTCCCTTGGTATCACCTGCATCGAAATGGGTACGTGTCTCTTCAGATAATCCTGGTTGAAATGATTTTACGAAAAAATTTATTTCGCGTTATTATGATACTTAACCTGATACTTTCTCCTTGTTGGAGTCAGTAAATGCAATCGGATTTATGTGAACCGAAATAATATTTTGAACGTGCAGTAAGAAAAAACAACTTTCTCTTTGTTACATGGCTTTGAAGCGCTATGCAAGATTGTCTTAGTGCTACCCTGAGTCGTACAATATTTTCTGCGTCATCTAGTTGTACAGTGTGTTGCGTTGCAGTTTATTTTCTATTTTGGTTTTCATCACTTTTTGTGAAGACCTCGAGATGTCTCCTAGAGACACTTGGTTCTCCGTTACGAACTTAACCACTGAATCGCTGTAAACATTTTGAGTAAAATATCTGTTGAAGTCATTTGTCTAAAACTACTGTTGGTTTTCTAAACTTCAGCCGAACTAAAGCCGCCGTACATGGAATCTGCTAACACCATGGCAGCCCTTTACCAAATTGCCCTAAATCCCGCTCCTTCGCTTCGAGAGTCGAATTGGACCTCGGATTTCCTTGATTTTGTCGAATTTGTTCTCAAGAAAAATGTGAGTTTTCTACAAACCATTATTGTTCAATAATTTGTCTCGCTTTGAATTTTGATTTACGATTTTAAATGTACTTTCTTAAACAGTACAACGCAAACTTCTAGTAGAATCAGTTTAAACGCTCTGAGGCGTCGGATAATCCAGAGTCTATTTTATCTGACCGGCGGTGTTTGCATCGGATTAGCAACGCTTGGTCAGATTAGTCAGATATGCAGAATTTGGTTTCATTCAACCTGAAAACAGCGACTTTTATTTTGCCTTATTCTCACGCCTTTCCTGCGGACATCTTTGAACCTAGTCTTGTTTTGCACGCTAAACTCCACTTAGCCTACAGGCGACAGTAATCTGACGTACTCTTTGGACAGTGTTTACCAGAGCTCACGCTGTTGTCTTGTCAGTAACAGGTCGTTTTCTTGTTAAAAGTCCTCTTGAATGCTCTTTGTTTGTGGTGAATTTGTTAGCTCTAACAGTAAACACAGAGACTCACTTTACTTGCAGCCCCGTTTTCTGGCTTACCCGTATAATTATCTGGCTCACTTTTACTATCTCCTGAGACTCAAGCCTGGCGACCCTAGCCTTGTCAACTTTCGTCACAGCTACTAAGTTACCGTGGGGTCATTGACCTGATGTGGGGGTGGGTTGCGTCCAGAAAGTCATCTTTTTTGCGCGATTGTTCGTCACCCCTCCTGCCTGACCTGTTCGATGCCCTGTACCCCTGTTGAGTTCATGCCCATCCGCCAATTTTTTAAAAATCGAATGAGGATTAATTGCATTTTCTTCCTTTGCGCCGTTGGTGTGTCTGTCCGCAGTCTCAAAAAGTCGATAAACACACGTCGTCTTCCAATTGGTCTAACGACTACCTTCCCCAGTACCCCATCATCCACGTGACATTCCTGCTAATTAGTGCGAGGAGTTTATTATGAAAAAGCCAGGCACTTGTTTATGCTCGTTAAGAAGGCTTACGCGTTGCTGCAAGTTAACGCGCCGTTTCATGGCAATTTTCATAGCGTTTTCTTTCTTAATCTCTCACCCTGCTTATCCTCTCCTAAGCACACAAGTCTTTTACACCTAATTATCCACCAAGACCCATCTTTGCCACCACGACGTCACACCCCCCAGTGTCCATAGTTTACTGCTAAAGCGTTTTTCAGTAGGAATTTCGCTTTCTCCCTCGTGAAAACAGCTTAAAATTGGCTCTCGTGCTCACTTCAACCGTGCCTGTCAGAACGACCGCGCACACATCAAATTGGACATTACGCTGGCTAATATTTGTCAGTGCATCCCGCTGCGTGCGTTCACACGGTGAGGAAATCTCCCTCTCTGTCCCGCCAGCGTTTTTGTGTGGCCGTGGGCGAGGGCCAGTCGACCCGACATTGGCAGGTCAACACACAAACCGAGCCTGTGATCTCGGCAATTTGGCCTGACTAGGCCCTTTCATTGGTTGCGTCCGAAGCTACTTCGAACAAGCAACTGCCCATACTCGGTTTGATGACTTTTCGCTCTCTTGAATCGGGCGCCAGTCGGTTATGCACCCATTCTCACATCTCCAACGAAGGCTCGCCGCCACACAGACCTCGTCAGCTGTCAGTTAAGGCACAAACGTGGAGACCTTTTTTCTCTCTCTCAACGAACCCACTCGTTGAATTGTGTCAGAGGAAATAGCTTAATTGATGCTAATGCGAATCGCCTGTAATGACTTGCGCGCGCACACACACACACACACACGGGCGCTTGTGTGTGTACGTGTTTACTAACCTACGTTCTTCATTCCCCTCAGCTGTGACATTTCTCGGCTTGGAGCAAATTCGCGCCCTCCAGGTTAATTCACACCACCGCGGCCTGGACCAGATTGTCTTTTGGCTGTATTGCTTGCACTCCGCTTACCCAGGCCCCTCTGAACCGTTCACAAAGGCCGTACTGCTGATCGGAGTCCTGTGGTTGTTCGGCAGACGCCTTCACAAACACGTTTGGTGCCCGTTTATTTCAAATTGTGTACATGCATGCTTTCCCGGGGTTCTTTTGATGCGATTTGCGTAATTCCAGTACCATCACGTGTCCGCGAATCCCTCTTCAACCAGGTGCTCAATCTACGGCTGCTTTGTACCGCGTGCTCTCAATGATGTCGCTCTGAAAAACACGCGCCTCTTGTGCGCCTGAACGGCACGTTGCCGACCTCCTTTGCCCAAGTCGTGTCGCAAATCCGTTGTCAATGAAGTGCGTATTCTTCGGCATTACTTGCGGTCTTCATCATCAACTATTTCTCTTCCAGCGTGTGCTGGACACCAGCTCTAGCCTCGTCTGAACTTCTGTTGTGGGCCCCAGCATGTGGTCTTGAACCACGCCGGGGCCACGGAATTAACCCTGGCCCGATTACGCTTGCCTGATTCTCGTGATGAGGAAAAAGACTGGCGAGGACGGGACACAATCGTTTACTTCAGAGGTCAACCACGTTGGTGTCGTTGTTTCGTGTGTGGGGTTTGCGCGTGTGTATTTATAGGTCGGATGTGTGAGTCATACATGCGCTAACATTGAGACCTATGTGTAAGGATACTCCAATATAAATATTCGTGCGAACGAGTGGGGAGTTGAGGATTCGAGCGGCTGGCGACATGCTGCGACAAGAGGAACCCTGCGTAGGAGGTGGAGCGACCGGATTAGGGGGTTGAATAAACAGGATTCACGACAATTCCTTTAACGCGTGTGAATGTGTGTTCGTACCTGCTTCATCATCAGTAAAAAAGACTCAAAACTAATTGAATTGTGCCAATTCACGTCCATCAGGCGACACGTCTAAGCACGCAAACGAGAACCCTTAGTCTCACGCAGTTGTGCCGAAGTGTCTTCGTAGTCTTATTCTGCTCAGTGTGTACACTCCGGCGGTCGCGATCTACCACGTCCACTGTAGCTATCGATCTCTCTCTATCGCTCTCTCTGTTGTTTTGCGACTTACGTGGGCTCAGCAACTGTGTGGCAGTATTTAAAACCACCCAACTGTCATGCAGTGCAATGGGGTCTCACTGCCAGGTTTTTATGCCCTCACAGCACACCCTGACGCAGGTGTACTTCAGGCATCCTAATTTTAGCTAGTTCAAGCACACCTCGTAAGTGCACGCGTAAGCTGGTAGCTTCTCACACGGTATCACCAGACACCTCCAACAGATCAATGGGGTGACACTAGAGGTGCCTAATGTGCTTCGTTTGGACCGGCACCCCATGAGTCAACCTGCGTACGCTCAACACACACACACACACACGAAGCATCATATTTCCTGCTTGGTGGTTACAGCAGGGAGTGCTTAAATTACGCGAACAGGTGATGTGGCGTGGATGGTGCCAGACATTCCTGGGCTTCGTGGCCTCGCTGTTGGTGTCTGGAATGGTTAAGGTCACCTCTGAGGGTGTGGCAATGCCTGGTCGCCTGTCGCGCGCGCACGCTATTGGTGAGGGTGTTGTTTGGCTCACAAACGAGAGGCGCGTGTGACAGTTGTAGTCATCTATCGTTTGTAAATTCCACACGTGTAACATATAAATGTATAGAACAACGAAGTTATTCCTGGGAACATTGTCCATCGCTTGCTTTGCGCATATCGCCCTGCCTTTTGAACTGTTTACCCACTAAGAGTCTTCTGATTCGCGCGAGCAACGTGAGATTGAGGGTTTTCATGCAGCAGTATGACTTGCTAGCTTCCTTGTCCAGTAAATGACCATTTCCTGATGTCTGGCCTCTTCGTTGAGTTTGTTCAGTTGTCGGGTGTGGCGTTGCGCAGTCACCATCTGACAACCAGTTTCCAGGAGTTCGTCATAAAGCACACCTTTCATGTCCTATCAGATACACAGGGGAGTCTTCTTCCGTTTCGGCGTCGATGTAGTGGTTTACGTGGGATCTACTCACGACACCTTTGACGTTTGGGATTCTCGTGCAAAATAAATTTTTTATCACTCATTTGAATGTTTCCGCAAGAAGTCGTTTTTCGTTGCCGTCGAAGAAGCAGTGAGAGGCATGTGTTCGTGCGTTGACCTGGGGGTTTGTGTTTGGTCAACACATGGGATGGGGCCGCCCAACTCCCACGTTTTTTGCTCTTTGGCGCAAACGCTTTGAAAAGGGTGTCTGGGTGTCTCGTAGCTGAGCTGCTGCAAGCTCTTGTCGCGTTTGCGTTGAGTCTTCATCCTGTAAAGCTTGTGTTTCGGCATCTCCGGACATTGGAAGGTGCTGTGCGGGGCTCGGTTGTTCATTGGAGTCGAAATCATCGCCTGTAAATCCTTCGTGCTAATAACTACACATTAAATTGTCACTCCAAGTTGATTCGGGTGCTTTAAAAGCATCTTTTTCCTAGTTGGAGTGCGTGTAAAGTGCAGTGCCATCGGATTTGGTGTTTGTCAGTTGCCATTGTAAACTCCAGTAATGCTAGAGGTTATGTAACTCACGAAGACTTGTTGTTGTTCGGTGTTCTGAGACCTTCCATGCATTTTTTTCCAAGTCCACAAAAGACCTCGAAAGCATTTCGATTGCAAAGATAATTATTTGCTTAAAGAAAAACCTCGCCTACACGTGCAAACCTTCTTTGTGTAGTCCTGGAGTTGGTTTTAGGTGTTCGTGAACACTCATAATAGTCACGAACAAGGACTGTGCTTTCCTCACCATCTTTGTAATGCATTGAATTAGACCTAAATCTCGTGGTACCATGTCTGGGGTAAGACGTCACGACACGACGTCCTCGCCATTTGTCAAGTCTAGCCGTTCTTCTCTGCTTCCAAGTTGTTTGGTGCCACGGAAGCAGATGTTTTTGACTACATTTAACCACCTACGTTTCACCTCGTTTGTGAGACCAATCACAGGCGTCGATTTTCTTGTTCTAAGTGTTATTCCTTTAATCCATACGGACCACCTACAGTTATCAATTCGATTCCCGTAAGTAGGTCGGGTTTAAGTATAGGAAAAAACATCTCCAATTTTGGCATTAAACACCGTGGATTTAGGCATCTCGTTTCGCCGCATCTCAAGGATACTAAAACGCCGATTTTGTTTCTTCCTCGCCACCCACGTGATGTTATGGCTTGAAGGCACCATCTTCGTGCTCCGCGAAATCGTTGTGGGTGCATTTGGTCCACGTGACTGCGACAATAAAACGCTAGTTTTTTTGTTTGATCGCTCGTGTGCGCTTATGTGTGTGTGCTTGTCTCACTAGCACGACACCTCGTTGTAGCGCACTCGTCTGATTTTGCACTCATTGTCGCAAATTGTTCAGATGGGTTGCGGGGTTAGTCATTGTCATAAACTCTCAATTGACAAGTTCTGCCGCTTGCCCCAGACAGCCTTGTCGGATTCGCTGGTCGCCCTCCAACAACCACCAAGGCAGTCCCCTTCAATCCCGACGTAATTGGAGGCGCCGTAATGCCTCCTGGCCGTCTGTGGTGGCATTCTGAGTTTCTCTAATCCACTGGTTGTTGGCTTCTGAGTTTCTGTGTGTGTGTGTATGTACATTCGTGGTTTGTGGTTTGATTTGTGGTGGTGGTGGTGGTGGTGGTGGATTCACCTTGCTTCTTTCCTTCAGCCGGAGGAGCGTCCGACGTCCGCCGAGGTTCTGACGCACCGTTTCTGTACAGCCATTCGAAACCCCACCCCCATCCTCCTGGACCTCGTGCAGCGTGGCATGGCGAACGCCAACGAAGGCAACCAGGTTCGCTCGAAGTTCAAGAAACTCGTCACCGACTACGACCACCAACAGCGCGACAGTGCCGCCCTCATGGACTCGCCTTCAAGGGACGCGGACGGCTGTCCACGGCGGGGCGTTAGCAACGACGAGGTAAGCCAATCTCCTGCTCACTGTGCTCTAGGTATGTGTGTCTGCGGTTCCCCTTCAAATTGGCGTCTATGCATCCCTTTATTTGTGCGTTCAGTGTAGAAACTTGGCCTGCTAGGCTGTCGCCTCCACACTACCTTCTTTATTGAACCAACACGCTCTAGTTTATCCTCAAAACTCACTAGTGCCTAATGCACGACTCATGGCTTTAGTGGTTTCCTTAAAAAAAATCACACACATTGACTACAAACTCAGACGGGGTGTGCATCTCTTCCTAGTTGGCTGTCCTTTTCGGTGCGATGTGAGTTCGGTGCGTTTGTTGGGTTTGAGTTGTGGTTCCTGAACCTTTATGCCTTCTCTATCCTTCCCCTTGCAGATTGAGCACTTAGTGATGACGATACGCGAGTGCACGCAAAAGGGGTAGGTTCCGGTTGTAGCGGTCGACGCTAAATCCCTAAAACCAACTCCCCATAACACCTCTCGCCATTGCTTAGTTCCCCTGTGTGTTGGGGTCTGGGGGAGGGGAGGGGGGAAGGTGTGATCCTCCTCGGGTGTTCCCATTGGCTGTCTTGATGTGCCACATCGACTGGTGTAACGTCAACCTTGAGCCGTCTTGTTGGAAGACACGCACGCACACGCACACAGAGACTTGGTCTGCTTCCACTCCCACCATTGTGATCCCAGGACGTTTGATTGTGTTCAGCAAGTTGATGTGTAAACATTCTCACTCAAGCTTGATGCTGTCCATGTCAAGTTCTTGCCCAAATCCACCTACTACGCCTACCATCCTCTCGGCTTTGTTCGGCAGCACTGGACTTCTGAATGCCTTCCAAGTAGAAAACTTGTTCCACCCTTGGGTCACACCTCAATGGACCATGTCGAACAACTTCGTACCTCATGTAACCTGCTCCCTGACTTGAGTCGCTCGCTGTCGTCCACAGAGCCCACGTTTGACTGGTGTCAACAGTTACTATCGAGAGTTTTAAGCTATTTAACAGAAGAAACACCTGTATCAGCGGTATTGCCATCTTTTTTCGTAGCCTTGTGTATTTAGTTAGACGATTTACGCTGGCGACATTGTGCGTGTTTAATTACAGCCAGAATTGTGATTGTTTTGGTCGACACACCATCCGGAACACTTACAAACCACGCGCTTCCGTGTGTCGAGTACAGCATGTCTGGTTTGTGTAGTAGTAGCAGTAACAGTAGTGAGACGACGCCTAACTGTGATTGGTTTAGTCGGGTTTTTTCATCTACCGACAGCCCTGCTGCCCATTTCGACAAAGCAAAACCGGCCAATTAGTTGTAGAAAGCGCTAATTTCCGTCTGTCTGTCTCTGAGCGTGCGTGCGTGCGTGTGTATGTATGTGTGTGGGGGGGGGGCTGACGTAAGTTACTACCTACATTAAATAAACATGGGTCGAGGCATCGGTTACCATGTATTGGCAGTATACTCGTTCCCCACTCCACTGAGTAGTGAAGATGGAGGCGGTCTCCACTCAAAGCACTGCAGAAAGCTGGTTCCCCTGTTGAGCCGT